TTTTTTTTTTTTTTTTTGCAACAACCATCCATGCTAATCTTCATTCTCTGTATCGTTCCAACTTTAACGGATGTCACGAAGGACACAAGGCATGCATTCTTTTTTTTTTTTTCCAAGCGGCAAAGGCACTAGTGGTTTAACACACCCCTCAGTGCTAGTGGTGCTGATGCTCCCCACAAGGCATGCATTCTATTCGCACCACAACACAAAAACCCTAAACTCAAAGATTGCCAACGGCCCAACGTAGCGCAGGCACAGTTGGTGGTACACCCATGAACTGTTGAAATACAGAAACAGAACCGAGTTCGAGCTCCAGACGGAAGCAGGTGGGCGAAACGAAATAGTAATAGTAATCTTAAATTGTCTTACTTGGGGCCGGGACTAAGTCCCACTACCGTCGTCCCCCGAACACAACGCACCCTCATTTTGGCTGCACCGAGCCGGAAACATAGCTTGTATACAGTCGTTATCAGGGTGCGTTGTGTTCGGGGGAAGACGGTAGCAGGGGCTTAGAAGACTTGGGGTTTCGAGTACGCGTAGGGGCCGGTCCCTGCCATCCGATCTGAGCATCTAACGGCTTGGGCTGTGGCCGCGTCTTTTTTTTTTTTTTTTTTTGGGTCTTTTGTGACTGTGGCCGAGTCTAAAAATGCTGGAAAGGAAAACTAAACCGCAGAGATGAAGGGTGACGAATACGTACTTCCAAAAAATATATATATATATATATCGTCAAATATATATATATATACGTAGTTTTCAAAAACGCTAGTAGTGGGACGTAAACCCCCCCGTCAGTTCGACAATTATGATACCTCAAGGCCGTCACCGCTTAAAAAACAACAACAAAAAAAAAAAAGAGAGAAGTACATCAACAGCCCGTTCAGTTCGGAAAAAGCAGAAAAAAAAGTTTCAAAAACCTTGCCCTGTTAGAATGAACCTGGACGTGAGTGCATGATCTGCACCGAACCATGCACCATGCCCAAGTGCATTCTACGCGGGGCAGGGTTTTTGTTTTTTTTTGCGTTTTCGAACGAACATAATTTGAAAAGTACGTATTCATTTTATTTTTTATTTATTTATTTTAAGCACGTACTCGTCACCCTTCATCTCTTAGGTTGCAGCACGGAGCTTTGTTTTTGATTTTTTTTCCCTTTTTGGTAATTGGTGTTTTGGATTTCCCTCCTTATCAAATGCGAGCATGATGCTGAAATTGTTACGGTACATGCTCGCATTTGATGCGGTAATTCAAAAAAAAAAAAAAAAAAAAAGAGAAAGAGAGAGAGAGAGAGAGAGAGAGAGAGAGAAAGGCACGCTATTGATTTGCTCTTCATGGGGGACAGGTGCCCCATTTCTACATCTCGATTTGTGCACACTTGTCATCCTTGTGCAACGCAGACAGCGGCCACGCATGCTCACAATAAATGCCTCTAGTAGTAGCCGCACCAATCGCCAACCCGCCACGATTTTGAATGCATCTGGACAGAATTCTCGCCCAAATGCACTCATAATTGGCGGATGGCGCCTGGTGCAACTACCAGGTCCTAACATTGTCCTCTCTTCTCGGTATCTGAATCTAGAGTTCCAATTTATCTAGAGTTATAATTTATCTAGTGTTCCAATTTATCTAGTGTTCCAATTTATTTAGAGTTCCAATTTAGACGGCTGTGCAGTCCCGAAGGACTCTATGCCGAGTTGTGCGCCTTTCTCTTTCTTTCTTTTTTCAACAACTTTCCCTTATATTTTTACAGTATTTCCCAAATCAGAATCGCGGTCGGGAGTCGGGACCTCACAAACAACCCGGACTTATTCTAGGAGCATCCCCAGTTACAACTTCCCTCATCTTCCACAGTCTAAATTCTCCTTGCACTAAAACGTACAATACAAGAATACGATGAGGGACCAAAAACTGTTATCAATTAGAAAGAACCGAACTGCTTGGCCTACTACGGCCCAGGTTGTACGCCTTTCCTTGCGCAGAACTCGTTATGAAAAACGGAAAATTAAAAAAAAAAAAGAAAGAAAGAGAGAGAAAGAGAACGAGAGAAAGAGAACGAGAGAAAGAGAACGAGAGAGAGAACGAGAGAGAGAGAACGAGAGAAAGAGAAAGAGAAAGAGAGAGAGAGAGAGAGAGAGAGAGAGAGAGAGAGAATGGCAGCCAAGCGCTAGGACGCGACCTACCACCACCCCCTTTTCCACAACCAGTCCAGCAGGTATGTGGGACTGCGGGCTGACTGAGGGAGAGAGAGGTGGAGTGCTCGTACACATGAAGGGTCTGGTTGAATGATCTCACCCAGTGATGAATGGGTCCAGAAAGTGGGGAAAAAAAAACAATTAATAATAATAATAATTATTATATATATATATATCGTCATATATATAATAATAATAAATAAATAAATCGATTGAAGCATTAAAAAAAAAGATGGAAAAGGGAGGGGGGCGGGGGAGGGGGGAGGCCGAGAAGCAACAAAGAATGGGGGAAGACCTTACAGCAGCCGCCGCCAAGGGCTGTGGAAATATGCATTCGACCGTTTCGGTATAGACCGGATCAGATCTGCCTACAAACAAAAACAACGAAAACAATTAGTTAGGAAAAGAGTGCCATTCAAATTATTATAACGTATTAAAAATTAAATAAACAACAGATTAAAAAAAAATAAAAGAAGGAACACAACGACCTCCTGCACCCAAAACACTGTAATTTCGTTTCTATGAGACTGACAACCGCGCACCCTTGCCTCCAAACTCCACCTCCACCTCCGCCCCCCTCTCTCTCTCTCTCTCTCTCTCTCTCTCTCTCTCTCTCTCTCTCTCTCTCTCTCTCTCTCTCTCTCTCTCTCTTCTTCTTCCTTCCTTTCTTTCTTTCTTCTTTTCCCTCGCTCTCCTTACCTTCCTCCCTTCCTTCCTACTCTCTCTCTCTTTTCCGGTTTTTTTTTGTTTTTTTTTTCAAATACACAAACGAGGGGCTCTTTGCCGTTCTCCTCTCTTCTGTTTTTCCCTCCTCTTTTCTCCCTTCCCCTCTTCACCAACATGTCCTTCAACGAACTGACCGCAAATGCAGTACATCACATCCCATCCCATCCTTCCTCGTCTTAGAGACCAGCGAAATTTGCCCTTTCACCCAACCAAAAAACTCCTCCTCAACCCTTGTACCTTTTTTTTTCTTTTTTTTCGTTTTTTTTTTTGCCCTTTTATGTCTTGTTTTTCTTCGATTGCGACGAAGTTCGAACTCCCGCCTCTTGGATCAACTGCCATGTATAGCTGTCACAGCAGTTCGGCAAATGCCAAAAAGACAAGGCATGCATTCTTCCTTTTTTTTTTTTTTTTTTTTTTTTTTTTTTTTTTTTTTTTTTTTTTTTTTTTTTTTTTTT